AAAGTTGCTTTGCTCGATATGCAGATAGAAGAAGTAGGTGTTTGAGTATGTAACATCGCACGAAAGACTCGCCGCGTAGGCGAAACATCCCGTTACTTTACGATTATTTTATCACCGACCATCGTCGCTGTCACTGTGAAGTCATCGAGAAAAAAATGACAGAAACGATTAAAGTAAAGTTGAAGGAATAGGATCGTGTAACTTACAGTACTACGTGACATCGACCGAAAATATGTAGGTATATTGACGAAACAAAAGTTTGTAAAATACGAAAAATTATTAACTGTATATGTGACGATATATATCGTATAATCTACAACACACTAATAATAATAAACACTAAGTCAAGTCGACGTAATATAAAAAAAAACTAATATTAAAATGTTTATAGTATGCGATTAAAACGTATGAAACAGAAATAACGCAAGACAATTTAAATATTGTGTTATTAGAATAGCAAACGTATAGTATCGATTATGAAGATTAAGGTGAATCGAGATAGGAACCATGGCGCGTGGACAGACGATCGTACGACCTCGTAAATCAATGCGTACTCAGATTGCTCTCGTATTAGTGTCGGTTTTACGGCGTACTTAGAAAGATAGATTAAGTGCGCGACCTTAGCACCAATCAATGGAACCAGATTGGCGATGGTCGCGGTTAACGATTAATGTTCCTGCCCCGTTAAAATTAGAATGAGATATTTAAAGCGTGACTCGCTGCGATCAACCAATCGTCGATCCAGGACGTTGATCCTTCGCGTGTCAACATCACGTGCCGGAGCTGCTGTACTGCTTGAAGATTATGTAAAAGATATTTTAAGACCCACACGACCCCTGTCTCCCTTCCTTATGATTAATGAAGAAGACGAATTTATAGAGGTACCGCTAGCGCGACATCAAGGTCACCATGGTGTCTTAACATCGCATCGAGTACATCATTCGTTTGTGGATAATACTTTGAAGAGTGTCTCCATTACTGATATTTTTAATATACAAAAATATATACGTTTTTATTATTGGAATGTCATGATAATAAAAAATTATTTTAATAATACTCTGATATTCTTATCAATTTTTATATCAAGTAAAAAGCATCGTAAACTCATCTACCATCAACTTGCATCACACACATGAGCATAAGCGTTCATGAACGCAAAAACAGCTACTACACACACAGAACCACGACTGCAACATCGTCGCGGATGTAAATGCGCAGAGGCACCTGCAGTGATATATATATATGTATATATATAAATTGATTATTCTCAACCTTCCCTCTCGAGTATCTTCCTTTTCCTACCGGCAGTTCTCTTGAGGCCTCTCGAGCAACGTGACTGCTCGATCGGCTTGCTTCTAGGTCGCATTATAATAAATACATAATGTCGATACTTTATATTTTACGCAGGCAGAATTTAAAGAATACCGTAAATGGCACCCTCGGGCATTGAGCCTGCAATTTCGCAAATTTCTTAAGCGGTCAAGAAATACGGAGAAGAAAGCAAGTTAACTGTTGCTTATTACGATATTACGGAAATTGATCTAATTTTTATCTCAAGTTTAAATAGAACGGTATCGAATATAATCGAATATTAAATACATTTTTAATTATTTACATAAATTTGTTTTTCAAAGGATAAATACAAATTATAAAATTCGAATTTTTCGATTAATATTAAACTTGAAAAAAAATTGCATAAATTTCAATCTAAATTTATGTATTTATTTTATGCAAACATATTTTACATTGATCTTTTAACTAACGACCGCGTCGTTATTATTGATTTAAGTGAGAAGATACAAGACAGATCAAAACACGGCGGAGGGACACGTGATCGTGTCATTTTGGTAACCGAGTCAATACACCATTGAAACACTCGATGCCGAGTCATCGAGTACCTCGTAGAAGCACGCGTTGCGTGCGGATTGCACCCGAGAAGGGAAGATTAGGGGCAACAAGGGGAGGGACGGAATTGCATTGTTTCTCTCGCCGTGGCAATCTGTTGTCGGCCCTCTTCACTCAAGTGTCCTCATTCTCCCTTCACTATCACTACACCACCAACACATCTCACCACACTATCGCCGTCACGGTAGCATCACTACCACTGCAACCGTCTAGTCTCATCGTCTATCGCACCGCCCGCTACTTTTATCGAGTGCTTAGACTTTTCGGCCACCCTCGAATCAACCCCTCGAGCAACAGCGAACGTCGCCACTCCCCTCTGCTTCTGACTGTACCCTTCAAGCACCGACAATTAGTTTCCCATTGACCTATACCACGGACCCTCGATAGTACATCTCGCGAAAGAATTAAACCGGAACAACAAACAAACAAAGAACCGCTTAATTCAAGAGTAGTGTGCTTATATTTATGGTAAATCAACTTCTATTGTTATCCGTTATCACATTGATTGAATACACATTTGATTTAAAATTAAACACAAATTTTTATAAAATTTTTTGTGAATGCTTTTATATGTATGTATCAAAAGAATATTCGATTTGAACGGCATGTTCAATTTTAATGAAGAATGGTAAAAAAGAGATGTAATAGCTTGACAAATACTCGCGCGTTAATCCCTCACAATCGTGGCTCAAAGGAGCTACGACCTCATTATCGAATCGTACACACGATCGGCGTTTATACGACATCAGTTGCTGGTCCGCGTGCATGGTTGTATGTGTTTGACACCGCCGATACCAGGCGATACCAGTCGAGGGCACGTGTTGGTTGTGAGAGCCGGTATGTCACGTCCGGCAGGTAGTCGGGAGTGTGTAACACATAGGAGGATCTCTGCGCGTCTCTTCTGTTCTCTCGCCGTTGTAATTAAACACCAAGGAGCTCGAATAAAAGTTGTGCAGCACTACTAATTAATGATGCCGAGGTGTCGAAATCAAGTCGTAGTATTTCACAGGACTCCGTTAGATCTCGCTGAATCGTTCGCGCCAATGTCAAAGGCGGGGATGGCGGGGAAAAAACGTGTGTGGAGACAACTCGCACCGTACAGATTCTTCGAACACGGGTAACTAACTAATAGAGCGAAGTGAGAAACAAGCAGCAGAGAAGATAACGACGAGAAGTCCGGCATAATAATTTGTGTGCGCTTCATTCTCAGTAGTGAGCAGATGAACGAAGACTGTAAGCTTGACATTTCAATTAAGAAACTCCGATAAAAAGAAAAATCTTTCGTGATTAGAAGCAGTAAAACGAAACTATTAAGAAAAATATTTACGTCAGAGTTTTTCAAAATTTCTACATATACATCCTATTATCTCTAAATATAAAATAATTAAATATTTAATTATTTCAACAACGCTTTTAAAATTTATTATTTACATTATTATCGTATCGTAAATTTCTGTATTATTTTTTTTAATATTAATTGAGTATATTACATCGTGCGCATATTATTTTTAGCGTAAATTATCTAATTAAATTTGCTTTAAGCAATTCTTAAGTATTAGCTGAAGAGAATAAAATATATATTATATGTATGCTCCGCGCGGGATTTATCGTACATAAGGAAAGAAGTGTAGAGAGAACAAATTCTCTTACATAATAGTCATAGATTATGTATCCGCGATAAATTCCATGTATAATATAATGGAATGTAATGCCGCAACGTAACAGTAATTTTGTTTCAAGCATAAACGAAGCATCGACGCAATGATTAACTCTGACACATGTTTTAACAGATGCACTTCCCTTATAGCATGTTCTTTAACAATAAATCGTACTTTACTATTCAACTGACTCATAATATTCATACTATTCGGTAGACTGACCCTACAGCAAGAATTAATACGTCGAGATATCGATATGAAAGATCGTAATGTCTGAAGTCAAATATTTTTCGATAAAACTTCCTTGTAATAACATAATAAAAAACTAACACAGACGTTGTCCCTAGAACTCAAGATGACTATTGTTTAACGATAAATTTTTTAAAGCGAAATCGTGATGCTCTATGTTGCTGTCAAAGAACTGCATCAAACGATGTCGGCGCGAGTTACGCGGCAGAAAACAAAATGCAATTAACGACAATAGCCGCGTCTGTTCATTAGCATTTTTTTACGTGCTTGCTCATGGCCTTTGTTCTATTTTCATTTCGTTCCATCACAGCGATCTACCGGCTCTCCTCTTTTCTACGGCCAGCCACTTCGCTTCATCGCCGCGCCGGTGCGCGCTTCATCCCTTCGCCTCTTCACCTTCAGCGTCCATTGTTGTCGGCGATGGCGGTGCGCTCATTGTGCTCCGACACAATAATAATTGCGCTAATGATCGCGCTCGAAAAGTGCTTCGTAATCGGCGAGGTAGGGACCTTTTCAGACTCTTTAGCCCGTTTCTTAAAGTAACTACCAACGCGATAAAACCTCCAGCTCGATAAAAAAAAAAAAGAAACAATAAGAGTTAAATTCCACGTGTACAGTAAACGATATACAGGCGACTAGGATGACTTCTAAAAACGAATAGTATACTAGTTTTTAATGTATAATTAATTATATTTTATCTACATACACATGTATAAATGAAGTGGTTAAAGATCCCATAATGAAAAAGAAATGAACATAATGAAACGCGCGATTTACATAACCGACCAAGTGAAGAGACTGATGTGGTCGATGTACAAAGAAGCAAATATGCCCGGAAGCGATCATTGAGATCGAACCGAGGACGAAAGAGGGGTCTAGAGAAAAAAAAGGTCCGCAGATCCATTTTCTCGCTTCGTTCCACGAGCGGTATTCGCATCGGTGCCCAACCACATATTAAAGGGATAATGTAAGCGCGCGCCCGCTCGCTCGCACGTGTGTGCACGAATCGTACGTACGTACCTAGAACGTGCGTTAACGTACGAAAGCGGGTAGGATACGCCACGCGGGGCACTCTCTTCATTTCCAGGCTGTCACGAGCAGAAGAAGATTCGGCCTGTGTTTGACAGCCCCAGGGTCTGGGTTGGGTGCTGCTGCTGCTGCTGTTGCTGCTGCCGCCGCCGCCACCGCCGCTGCTGCTGTTGCCGCTGCTACCAGGGCTGGGCCGTAGGTTGAGAGAATCGTACAGGGGCACGTTGGAGGTGGAGGGTACATAGTCGAGAGAATCGGTACGAAGGGACGAGAGAGAGAAAGTTGGCGTGTGCCCATGTGCCGGTACTACCGATTATACCGTACTGCACCGTATTGCTACATCGCGAAACCACGCACACCCCTTCTACTCTCCCTTTTCTCTTGCACAGCTTTAACTCGCTCGCATTCTCTTCCAGCTGTATTCATCTCTCTAGTAAAAAAATTGTAAAAGCAGACCGATACACGGTTGAAATAGAGCTACAATACATGTCTCCTTCCTTCGGAAATATCAGCGAATATCTTGTATCTCTTTCTCTTTTTCGCAAAAAGCGAAACACAATCTCTTGGTAAACTTCTCGTTTTAACTACTCAACTACTAGATCCGATCACTTTTATTGCATTCACACACACACACACACACACATTGCATGATAAATTCTTGAAGAAAAATGTGATTTCACAGAAAACAAATGTAATCACGCAAAAAAAATTCCGCCGAAGCTGAAATTGAATCCTCAAGCAGATGGAATACTCATTCGAGCGTTCTGTTGCACAAAAAGCCGAGTGTGAAGTCATAATTACTTTGCATAGTAATAGCCTCGGCATATTTGCATATACGACAGTCCAAAAAAAGATTTCGCGTATCGACACGTGATGCAAAGTAATCACTGATTCAGAAAGAGAGATTAAAAAATATATTATTTTAAAATAAAAAATCTAAAAGAGCTCTCTGTAACATCTGGACATAATAATTAATTGTACTATATAATAGATTTTTCCTCTTTTTTGTTTGATACTTTACCTATTGTGTATCTCTAAAAAGTATTTATTATTTCTGTTTTATTTTTACATAGTCGCAAATACATAAAAAAACTCGCACCTTTCAGTTGAGTTAGTTCCAGATAATATTTTTTTATTCCAGATATATATATTTTAACTATATGTATCTACTTTGGCGAGTCTTTTGAATAAAATCAATTTAATCAATTATCGTCGATTAAATTTTTAAATTGTAAAAAATATAACGGTAGCTCTGCACCTTCAATGAATTATTCGGTGAATTACAATGATAAAGATGGTGGATTAAGAGGATACGAGGGAAGTCAGAAAAACGGAAGCAGAGACTAAGAGAGGAAAAAAAAGAATTCGAGAAGGAATAATAGAAAGGAGATGCAGAATCGGAAAACCGACGAGATTTCCGATAGAAACTGGAAACACGCATGGGGCAGACGGGTTACGGGAGGGCAATGACGGCTGCTGTTTAATATCGGTGCCGCACATGGGCGCACTCCGAGACACATTTCACTAATATTGCAGCCAGCCAGCCACCCAGCCAGCCAGCCAGGCAGGCAGGCAGGCAGGCAGACAGCAGCCAGCAAACGGCAGCTAACGGAGACGGCGCGCTTCCCAGCGCACACGCTTTACATATCTCTCGGTGCATTAATATATTCAACACATATGAATATTGCAGAGAGACCGAGAGACACGTAGGAAGTGAGATAGAGAAAGAAAAACGGGATAGAGGCAGAGAGAGGGACGATGAGGGAGGCAGGCAGGTAGAGATGATGTACTCGCCAGCTAAACCATTGTGCCTATCTTGGGCTTCATGAAATCTGCAGTTCTCTCGCTTTCGCTCTTTCACTATCTCCTATTCCGCGTTCCCTTCGCCTCTCATTGTTCCGCGACAGAGCTTTGTGCTTTGTGCCTCTCGCAACTCTGGAACTATTTCCGTGGCTTTGAATAAGGAACTAATGAATACGAACTGTGGATGGTGGCAAGCTTATATATTCCCTTTATAGCTTGTATATGTATAATGTGTATCACGTTTATCGTATGCGTACGTTTCTTTCACACTCGGGCTACTTAATTTCTTTTTCCGTATATGAATGTATAGTTGCGACAATTGTATCGAAAAACCGTGGTCACACAAAATTAATATTTTTGAATTTTAAAATATAAAAAGTTAATAAAGTCTATCACAAAAACGTGACCGCTATATCGCTAATTATTTCCATGTCGCGATCATCAGCTATATATACTACTATAGTTACAGACAATTTTGTATTTTTCTAAAAATGTTTTTTTATCTTTTCTTTTATGAACTATACCAACTTGGTTGGTGCGTTCCAGCTGCGTCGTGCAGTTTCGGCGAGACGTTTCCGAGCGAAGCGTTTTCTGCCTCCATGGGAACCAATTACCCTTCCACCCTCTTACGAGAATGGCCGACTCTCTGGGCGATGGTCGCCGGTACACGAAAGTCCAGTACGTGCGTGTGCGTACGTTCGAGAGTCGCTGTACGTTTAAATCGTGTACACGCGTGACAACATAGCACTACACGTGCACGTAATAGGCACGCATGTACACGGTGTGTGTATAATACATACTTACATAAATGTAATCACGTATACAAAGCATGTTCGCACACGTACATATATTTCTATACAAACAACACGCGTAGATTATATACATACAATATATATAATACATTACATATATATATATATATATATACTATGAATATAATATATTTGTATATACAGATGCGTATGTGTGTGTGCGCGCATATAGATACATATGTGTGCCTATATCCGACTCCTTGGCAATAGAGATTGGAGAGAATAAGAAGGAAAGACAGAGAAAGACGAAAAAGTCGAATGAGAGAAGAAGAGAGAAGCAACAGTGATGGATCGTCCAATCAGTGCCGCGAGATGAAGCACGAGAGAAACGGAGCGAGCGAGGAGGCAAGACCAGAAGAGAATCTTCTCCACCTATGGCACGGTACGCGATGGACGATGAAAAAAGAGAGAGACGAAAAACGACAGAGAAAGGGAGAGGTCATGGTCGGGTCGGTCTCTTGCTAATCGAAGAACACGAGGTTGCCCTGTGGCGGCTCCATGCGAGAGAAACTCTACCTCGGCTATTCTCCTCCGCCATCACCTATCGTCGGGCCAGCTATTGTGTAACTTGTTCTCGACCAAGCAATGAATTCTCTTCCGCAAGGCCTATAGTTGTGATTAAACTTCTCTGACACTATCCGATAAAGTCCTAATTAGCTCGTGTTTTGAAATCGCTTACGATACTCAAATATTTTGTCTTTTTATTTTTACAACATTTCTATTCTTTTAACGATATTGTTTATTTTTATAACAGTCATTATCTCATATTATATCGACTGATGCATCCTATATTAAATTTAAAAATAAAAAGGTGTGAAATATTATATATTTTAAAACAATCATTTTTTCTCATCTCTACTAAAGAAATTTATCGTGTTGTATTATTAACATTTCTGAACATCTATAATACGCCAATATTTATAAAAAAAAATTAATTGTTATTGATGTACATTAATATAGTTAAGAAAATTTAGCAAATTTTGAAATTTCGGTGTTCAACTGAATTGTATCGATTACGTAACTTGAGTACACTTGCTTCTAAAATAACAACCGCGTGTACCAAAGAATAAGACAAACGGAATTGCGGTCGAAAGGGTTGAGTCCAAGGGTCGCGAGCCGCGAAGTTGAACATCGCTCAAACTACCGCGTACAATACCGACAAGGAGGTTGTTGGAGATTTATGTCACGGAGAAGCTTTGCGACGAATGATTATATGCGCGGGACATCACAAGAAGATCTCTGTAATGGCAAAGCGTATAATGGTATTATCAAATCTATTAGATAATAATAAACTTTCTTCTATTATCATATTCATTCACGTTATATTACATATGTATAATGACTAGATTATTATAATGTACTGTATATAATGATTTAATTGGAGAAATCGATCTGTTACAATTGCAATTATCATTTATATCACACTTTTTACGCAATCGGATTTTCGTTTTTCATTCTGATATCGAAATTAATAATATCACATTTAAATATTATAAAACTGTTAGACAAATAAATATACAAATGCAAAGCTGTTTTCGATATAATGTTATATGAAGTTTTTATCTTGAATTTATGTAAAGAATCATTCCTCGAAATTTTTTAACGTACATCCTGTATCGCTGACACAAATCAAGTGTTTTTATTTTTAAATAGGTTTATAGAAACAAAGAATTTTGTCTATTTGCAGTTTCCTCTCAGCTTTTTCTAATAACAAAATTTTGCTAGTTATATTAATAATTCAGTATATGAGAAATATGTATGTATATCATGTTAGTCAAAAAGTACGAAATGTGACAAAATGTATATGTATATACAACTTGAATGATATATACGTCAATTCTTTCATCACCCATAGACATCCGAAATGCACTGCGGGAGATTGAAAAATGATTTCCTAGCAACGATGTAGCACGAGTTACGCCACTGTGCGTAGAGTGGCGAAAGAGAGGAAGAGAGCAGAGAGGGTGGCTAACAATGGCCGCCAACCAAAACATCCGATAAATCTAACCGGCCCGGACCTCAAGCCCCGAGGGGTTTTAAACTCTCTCACCCCAAACGCCGACGCGGGCGCAACCCTTACATTACGTTACACACTCACGGAAAAGGGAGCCATGCCGTGTGGTATTGCAGAGCGATACGGAGGGGGGGGGGGGTGGCAAAGGGGTGGTAGTGCACAGTACGGTGGTTCTATGCGATGGAGACGGGGAGAAGAGAGGGACGTGATGTGCGACCCATGAAAAACCAAACCGAGAGAATTCCACCCGTTCTCCTCCTCTTTCACCTCCGTTTCTCTAGCATCCACCCCGCGTTCTCCCCGTCTCGACTAACCTCCTTCTACCAGTAAACGTAACGAGATCTACCGCGCGCGGGCGGTCGTGTACTGGCTCTGACGAAATTTCGACGAATTTGTTTTGTTACCGTTTTGCCCCCCCCCCCCCCCTCCCCTTATTCAAAGCTGCGGTCGAAATTCCGGCTCAACAAATGCGCGCTCTGAAATTACGATGGAAATGGTACCTTACTCATGCAACAAGACTTGGAATGATTATCAAAAACAGGATATTGTCGTTTTGAAATAAACTTTTATTTTTCACTGATATTAATATAATCAAATATTGATTAGCTTTCTCTTTAATAATAGCAGAAATACGAGCTGTATATAGGATACATTTGTATTATTAAAGCGGAAACGAGAAAAATTGGAATATTCGTGAAAAGAACAATAGTAACGCATGTAAGAATCGCTACGCGTCGCGTCGGTTGAGATACGTCATTTTAAAAACGTTTTTTCGAAATAACATAGACGACATTGGGAGACGCTTTTGTTTCCGCGCTCGTAACAGATGAGCAAGACGAAAATATGCAGTCGGGGAAAATGCAGAGGCACGCTAATGTCGACGCAGAAACTCGACTCTCGCGCAACGTATCGAGAGTTAAACGACGACACCTGGAATCTCGGGATTCCTCGACAGTCGTACATAGTCAAGCGCGTCCCACGTCTACGATATTCTGTGCTGAGCTGAGTGGCAAAGCGCGTTTCCGCGTTGAAGAATGTCGATAGCTTTCAACTACACACTTAAAAGCATGCAAGTTTGACGTGCTATTTGCTTGAAAAATATTAAACCACGGTAATTGATAGTTAAAAATACAAAAGAAACTGCAATGGAAAGAATGAGAGATCGATTTTTCTCGATGTAATATTTACTTCTCCAAGCGAAACAGCGAAAGGATTATTTCATAGACGAGTGCGACACGTGCGTCGCGATTTCGACGTTTTATATCGATCTTAGTGGCATAAATCGCGTTTAATTCAATTTGGATATAATCTTGTCACGCCAAATTAAACAAATTTCACATTATGCAATCGTTATCAAATACTTTTCACACGTATCGAAACTCTATTATAACTCGAACGCTCCTGAACACACGGAAAAAAAGATTCACGGGAGACTATAGGGAGACTGCGCGCGAAACGAAGGTAGAAATGAAGGAAAAAAAAAACCCTTTCTCCGCGGTCGAGCCCAAGTCCGCCCCACCTTTTCTTTACGGATCGGCTCGAGAGAGGAGCGGCGCGGCGTCCGCGCGACCGCTTACTCACTCACGTAAGTAGAAGGAAGAGGTCCAGATGAGGAGAACGAGAGGCCAGAGAAAGAGGGACAGACAGGTCGGCCCGAGAGAGGAACCCGCGGCTGCCATGGTTACCGTCGCATTCCCGCCTCGCCTCGTTGCCATGGAGATGGCGGCACCCTTTCCCCCGACTCTCCTCTCCTCGCCTCTCTTTTCATTCTCTCGTTCTCTCTGCTCCGCTCGCATGCCGACCGACACTCTCACACTCGCGAAATTCCGTCCTCCTTGCTCTCGGGCGCCAATCTTCTCTCCGACGACAAGGGCTCGCTCTCTCGCGCTCACTTCGTCCTTCCTTCGTATAGAGGATATACCGCTGCCTCACGGAGAGAGGGAAGTCGAAAGAGAGGAACAGACGGAGGAGACAGCCCGCGAACGCATACGCATGCGTGATATTTGGTCCTTCGGAGCACGATGCATATCCGGAATGATTCGATCACTTATCAAATGCGAGTCACTCGCAACCTCATAATATACTCTTACACGATGCTTATCTTTGGCGATTTGAGAGAATCTCGACACCACGATGTCGTTTGCCACGAGATCAATGTTTGCGCACACGTAAAAACAAAAACAAAGTATAATATCGAGAAACTTTTTTGTAATATAAAAAAAAAGCTCATAACACATTTAATCATTTTTTGTTATTATATTATAATTTGTTTTCAAATATATCGAAAACTTTAATTTATATTTTACATATATTCGAATGGTTATAAGATCGTAATATTGTGATCTTTCTACAATTTTTTATATTACGTAGGTCGCTAATCACTGTCAAGCTAAATCATTCGCACTCAAAACGAATGAGATGTAAGCGCTCTATTTCGTATAAATCGTAATTCTGATTGCTCGTCGCGTCATTCGATATCAATATTTATTCAGCGTAGCGAATGCCCGAGGCCGATTAAAACTTGTTTATGCGACCAACAATTCGCTCCTCCCTCTGTACGAAGTGTACACATAAAACGGCGCGGCGCATCTCTTTTCTTCGTTTTATTCACGGCATGCACAGTTAAAAATGACTGAAGATTAATTTGAACGAATAAAAATGGATTTATGCTCAACAATGTCATTATGTACAACTTTATATTTTGCATTACACACTTAAAAAATATAATTAAAAATATTGGTAGTTAAAAACATAAATTGCTTCTTAAAAATTGCAGAGTTATACAATCTTTGTAAAAGGCAATTAATTTTTTTAATTACCCCATTTGTATTATTCATTTGTTTATTTAACTAGCGTTTTACCATTAATTTCTGCGTATAATCTGATAAAAAGAAAAACAGAAAGTGTAACAATCATACGGATGAAATATGTAAAGAATAAAATGCATAAGTAAACGAAGAAAAAAAATATAGAATACCAAAATAAATGTAGTTGAAATAAAAAATTGCAGAATAAAATCTTTTATAAAAAGCGAGCTTTTAAAGATCTTATAAACATTATACAAATGTGTGAAAGAAATATCAACACATGTTAAATAATTATAATTGTCTAGATAATTGTTATGGCCAAAAAATTATCAAATAATGTTTTGAGAACGTATACTAATAGAAGCTTTCTTAAAAGATGTTAAATTATTGAGCGATGTGTTGCCGATGACTAACGGAGTATCATTCTAACACTTAGAAATATGCATCTAAAAAATTTTTACAAATATAATTCCGACAATCGCGTTACGTGTAGAATGATAAAGAATTCAAACTAATCGACGAATTTTTTACTTTGTTACTTCAGCTTCATAGAAAAATAGAAGCCGATTCGAAAAGCGTACAAGTAATTCTAAATGTAAAGAACTCGACTTACCGGGACTGCCGAGGAAGACCGAGGAATAAAGAACACCACGACGCGCGTCGGTCGCCGCGCGTTGCGCGTCAGGAGGCGAACTCCATTCCCTGCGAGGACACCATTTGCCTGAAACATTTTTCATTACATTTTTTTTAATTACATTGTTTTTCATTAAAATTATTACTATATAATTATTTAAAAAAATTTGGTTTTTCAATCATAATTTTGCTAATCTACAGTTTTAATAAACATATGCTTTTATAACAGACACAGTCGTGTTAAAAATAGATACCACACTACACCTTAAACAATTGACACACATCTTAAATACATTAAAATAAAAAAAATTGGCGTGAATCAAATTAGAATGAAATTAGAAAAAAAAAACTCTTCAATGAATTTGTTTCGATAAAAGATAAAATTAGTCGACAGTTACGAGACGTCGCAATCAAAATATAATAAAAAAAATTATGCTGATAATACGAAATAGCCTGTTCTCGTGTAAAAATAGATGTTTTCATATCGATTCTCGCACGAAAACGTTATTATGCCAACGTCATGGAGAAAAAGTATGCAGAAAGGGTATGTGAAGGAAGTAAAAGATTCGTGATCGTCGGCGTCACGACTTCGACCAAAGAGATTCTATCATACCGTGTTGCGCTATACTATATGTATAGTACTGTTATAGTATTTTCATTCTTTTTTTTTACCAGATAACATGCGACGTTATCCCTGCGATTTAATACTTGGCTAAAATTAGAATAATCCTACAATTATATATATAATGCTAATTATAATTACTTATAAGAGTGTGGAAAAGCATTTACGTTAAACTACCTATAGTATTTATTCGACGAATACATATTACACTAGGTGTAATAGCGGTCAAACGAAAAGTATTATCTATGAAAGTTTGCTTCCAAATAAAATTAACAAAAAAATATTTATTTCTTCTTTATGTGTGGCTAGAGAAATTCGGAGAATTTTCTATCTTCCAACTGATTTATCAAACGGAGAGCACCACTCGCGACTGCAGTATTGCAATTTTCCAGATGCGAAAATAGGAAAGGTATCTACTTTATTTCCAGGAAGATCCCGGCTGAATGAGGATACACGGTAAGAAAGGGTGGCGCCGGGGGATAAGAGTAAGCCGCGGAGCGAAGTAATTTCACACGAGAGAGTAGGGTCTTGCTGGGTGAGAGGAGATCCCGCGGAGCTATAGTCTTATCTCGGAAATATAGCGGGCACATCCCCCTGCGAAAATTATATTCTTGGAAAGCAGAAAATTGCTTCGCTTCAGCCCGTTCTGTACGAGCGTGCAGTCCACCGATATTAAGTTCTTGTAACGTTTTTGCATGCAATCAACTGTTATCATATAGATACCGAGATTAATAATATGCGAGATCGAACAGCGATCCTTCGTAGATTCACTGGCAATTAACTTTGAAACTCTCGTTCAATTCAGGCGCGTGCTTTAAACGAATAGATTTAAAGACGAATGATATCGATCATAGTGTGCGTTTAACTTTACAGTCACGGCACAACCTGTCAGTTAAACGAAATGACAGGGCTCTCTCTCTCTCTTTGCTAGAATGATTCGAAAATAATGATTAATTCCGGCACTAGGGGCAACCGGAATCGCATTAATAACAACAAGAGATTAACTTTCCGGCACTTAACCTTCGAGCAAATTTTTCTTCGTTAACATTTTGTGTAAATTAAAGGAATAATGAAAGACGCAATGTGATATATAAAACTATAATAAATACACACAAATATTGAAAAGACATTATCGATTCGACGTGAGATATCTCGTTGTAGTGGATCCCGTCTTTCCACGCCGCGGATAAGTGAATAAACAATATATCAGGATTATTCAAAGTCATTTGCTCGCGTTGCCGACCCATTACGCACCGCTAGGCTATACGTCACAGCCATTTCGAAGTCCTCGGAGGCACAGGTCCTTTGGATACCTGTAGAATCCTAGGCTGGAGGTGGGGCGGATAGATGGAGATTTATAGCCGTTAGGAGACAGGGTGTAATCATACACATCGCCCCATCAACTCTGTAACCGTGATTTACCGTGGGAATTCTAAAAAGTTTTAGAGTTTCTACCGTATTTTGACCCGAATTCTTTGAATCTCGGTATATATAGCTATGACACTGCCGTACGTCAAATCTAGGTACCGTTCATGAACGTACAGTTACGAAACACTAAAATCCTTCTCTTTTTCAGTTGAATGAATAAAATAAATAAACGCGTTAGAAGAAATCTTTTTTAATCACGAGTTAAATCATGTGACTTGAAAAGTCGACTTTATGTCCATATACATATAATTGTCGCATTTCACAGTGCAAAACGTTTCTTTAGAAGAAAGATTCGTTAAGTGGCATCGAGTGAGACGTCTCCTTTGAATGATCACCGTAGCTAAATTGCGGGTTAACTTTGGTCTAACGGGTTCGCGTGTTCGCGACAGTCATGCCACAGGGCCGAGTCATGTATCGGGCAAAGCCCTGGAGGAGTGAGTACGATCGGTGGGAGGTGGATGGACCATAATACGACGACCACGTCATCTTCGCTTGAAACTGAATTCATAGAGCCACGCGCGAGCGCGAACTCCCGCTATGGCTTTATTTTTGCGCCCAACAGCTGACGGTTATAAATTGGAATGTAACAGTCGGACACGCGACGGACGTCGTATGTTTCTTCCTTGCGTCGACAATGATCTTTCCATGACTAATTTATTTCGACAAAGGTAAGTTCCACGCTAAGAGCCACGTGTATCTTATTATATCTGTCTTTTCGACTTAGTCACATTTCAAATTCGTGCAATGCATCATACAAACTCCCGGAAGTCTTTACTGAATTGTGAAACGCCATCTTAACAAATTCTAACTGTTACATGATTTTGCGCAATCATCGAGTTAGGTTAAAACAGAGAGATTCGGAGAGGATCTTTAATGTCGGTATCCGGCTTTTCCACTCGTATAGAGACTCTGTTGCGGATGTTATAGATAGAATATAGATACGTGTACCCAATAACCCCATCACGTCGGGGATGCTTTCTCGGTATAAATAAATCAATATAACTCGCTTCCACCCTAGACGCCGCCCTCTTTCGCCGTAAGGAAGTGACGTATGAGGCTCGCATCTTCAAGGCGAGGGTTGAAGAGGCCACCCTGTTATTTCACAGTTAGGCTCGTCCCTCTCGCTCCCCTCAAGTTCCCTCAACCATCTTTCTCGTAGTCTTCCACCATCCAGACCGACCTGTGCGTCCCTAGTGCCGCTTCCAAACGCGCACGAGTCCCTCGGGAAGCTTTTGTCCTCGAGCTGTAAGCGACTTCCTGACAGGCCAAGTTTGCACCTGCTCTCCTTTTGGCTCGTCAGTCTCTCTCTCTCTCTCTTCTTCTATCCATCCTCGACATCTCGCTTTCGCTCGTTGTTTCACGCTTTACTCTCCCTTTCTCTCTCGTTTTGTCCTCTTTGCAAACTCTGCCTAACCTTACATCGTCCCACGCCACCAACACACCATCCACCACCCACTGACGTTACTGGCGCGTAATTTATTCGGGATGAGTATCCTCTCTCTTCGGTCGAAGGTAATCCGTAGATCAGCGCGCTGGATAAACCGGGCGTGTCGTTATATACGTCCGTCGAAATTATTTTCGAATAATCCCCGCCGTCGTCGACACTTCGAACTCACTTATCTTAATTAAAATTACCCTCATCTAGTGACTCGAAGCGAATCGGATGTTTGCGCGATTTACGCTAATAATGCCAACGGTAAACCAACGCGTTCAAGTGACAAGATTTAAATGATAGCTTATTCCTGTGAATAGATCTCTGGGAACAGATGCAGGGAGATTATTCAAAAATTTCACGCGCAATTTATTAAATAGTAAAATACAATAAAACCTGCATTTTTTAAATATCGATACCTACTTTTAAGACGTTTAAAAATTTTTCTGCAAGTTTCTGCTAATGAAATATTGTATATGAGCAAAATGAATGAAAATAAAAAAATTGCCCTTTTTCTTGATTAAGATCTAATTGTGCAGAATAAACGTGTAGCGTTTCAAGATTGTTGGGCGGCATCGTGACGTTATTCCTATTTTCCATTTGTAAGCAGAAACACCGTCTTTCTTCGGTAAGTAGAGGGCGACGGGTGGAAGTCTACGTTCGCAGATGTCGGAGATGCCGAGTGATTAATGACGCCCGATAGACGTAATTTGTTGCGGCTTGCAAACTCGCCGTCTCTCGGTGCGTCTTTCAAATTCAAATTATTGATAAACAGGATGCTGTTTGTAACAGTCGGTATGGGATGATGTCGGACAAACCGGACGACTTAACTAAGCGCAAACGATACAGTAATTAATTTTATACGGTATATTACGACATTTTTTAAACGTACAGAAAATGTTTACAAAAAGAAAAAGTTTTAATTTACAGCAACTGAGAATTATGTCGTATTACTATCATGAAATCATGCGCAGATACTGAACAAAGTGATAGCTCGACTTGACTTTATGGCAACACGTGTAGTGTAATTGCTCTAGTTTTATGGATAATAACATACACTCTCGCTTATTCGTGCGCGAATTCGCCAGCGCGAGAACGCAAAAGAGTATGTACAAAGACGTGTGATACGATCAGATTGATCTGAACTCTGTATCGACCGTGCATTATCTAACTGGAGAGAAGAAAGATAATTCTTATAAGCTGAAATAAAGATAATCAAGCGATACGGTATTCGCTTAATGGTCGTGCGGCTAAGTAAGTGTAGGTATACGAGTGGATTTCTCCGTCGCGATCGCGAACGACGCCATCGTTTTGCAGCGTACGGATGTGCGATTATCATTAAACGCGTAATGGCAAGAAACAGCATAATGGAAATGGTCGAAGGGCTCTGCTGGTCAACCAACGATAAGATCGAACAAAGGTGTTAACGTAATTCAACGACGACAGCTGAGAGCACCGGACTTTGCCATGCTACCCGCTGGTCGCGCCTTCTCTCGCGAGTCCACTTCCTCCATAAAACGTAAGTTCACAATTAACACTCTTTCGTTTGCGACAGTCAAATTTACGCTGGCATTTAGCGCATAAGGCAATTGCGCCATCTTTTCCT